TTCAAGCCTGTACACTTTCACAAAATCATCGTACACTTAATTTGAAAATGTTCAGTTTAGGTACTCCCCGCCCCTCATATAAGGCTGGTATGGCCAAATCACTTAATTTCATAGTAATATCGTATGTGAAGGCAAAATTGTTACCTACACTTAATGTACACTTTTTTAAGACCATAATACATTACATAAAATTTTGGATTTAGAAAATAGCTACCCCGGGCAAAATTATGAGGACCCCAAAAAAATGAAGTCGATTTTTTGAAAAAAAAATTCAGGTACACTTCGAAACAAAATGTTGTACACTTACCTACACTTCCTCTACACTTAATTGAAACAATAAATTTTGAAAAAAAATTATGTAGCAAAATTATGACTACACAGCCAATAAATTGACGTTAGTTTTTCACTTTATTTCAAAAAGTCAATAAAAATACCTTTCTCACACTAGCTGGTGCGAAAAAGTAAAATTACCTTCAATATTCTTAATTAGTTTGCAAAATTCATAGTCTAATAGTAGTTCCGAAGCGCCCTTGGCTCGAATCTGTGGTACTTTGGCGGCTCGACTGTATGCTTCATGCTTTGTAACTTCGCCCAATTTCTTCGTGTATGTTTCTAATCCAATTCGTTTCTTAACTAGTTGGCATAAGTCTTCTCGTCGAGAATTTTGCACGGAATTATCGTTGAATTGAATGCTTATGCCCATGAGAAAGGCGCACAGACTCTGCACCAAATATTCATTGTCGTCATGTTCATTGGCGCTGATTTGTGAGATGAGATAGGCCGTTGTGTTTGGTGTATTGAGAAATGCTTTAACCGCCAATGGACAATCGTGCAACCATGTACACAATAACATCAAAATGCCAAGTTTCGATTGAAGTTTGTAGTTGCTGGTTTGCAGTAGAGTTGTACATTGTTGAAGTAATGAAATTGGCTCACTGCCCGGTGATGTGGCCAAAAGAACACGAAGCAATTGTTGTTTCTCTTCATTGTTTCCAATGAGTGCGTGCATGAGAGAAACCAACGAAAACCAATTCGACAAAGCGTCCGAACTGAAGAGACCGCCGCACAACAATTGACCGGCTGTGAACGATGTAACGCTTGCTGTTGTTGGTAATAGTGTTTGAACTAATTTTATTTGGCCAATTTGATTGTTATAGAGAAAACTCTGGAAGCAATACAATACGGCAGTGCGTAGTGTCAATGGTTGTTTATCGTTTACCATTGACATGAGAAGAACAACGATGGCCGGTTGCGGTGGATTACTGGGTGCCAAAATTGAATTGAGATATTCTTGATTTTCATTATCACCCCGAATTACTTCGGCAACTGTGTTTATTGTTTCCGTCAAAACGTCTGATGGCACACCACTTCCCATCAAAATCTTGCACAGTGTTTCTAACAAACCACAATTTCGCATTGTTTTTTGACACGATGTTATGATGATCTGTGAATTGATTGGGCTAACTAAAGCACGGACAATTTGTAACATACAATGCATATTTGATACTTTTTGCGGTGTCCAACCGGATTCATCGAGCTCTGGTGGAAGCACTAACATCGGAGCCAATCGTTGGATGTAGGAACCTTCTTTGAAAAATTGCTGATTGCTTGAATTATTTTTCAATAAATGAATCATTAAAATGAGACAATCTTCCACGACGATTCCACCATCCGAAAAACCCTCGTCACGTATCACATCGAATAATCGATCGAATGCATTCTCGAATGCAACAATTTTCTGTATGTTTGCATTTCCTTTGATCAATTCAATGAGCAGTAAAAGAGCATCGTTTCGGATCACTTCACGGGTATCCACTAATAGATCCATTAGTTTTGACACGGCCATTGGGCTCACTAAAATTATTTCTTGAATGTCTTTATGACGATTGGCCAACAGTGATGTGAGTAATTTGATTGCCGGCCATCGTACTTTGAAATCAATTTCTTCGAGAAAACTTAATACGGTCGTCACGTTGTCGGGTGATTTTATAAACATTTCGGTGAATTGTTCGCCAATGTTTGCTGTTTTGAAGAGAAAGAAAAAGACAACAACAGTTTACATATAGGTTTTTTTTTTAATTTGTAAGGTACATCATTTTTATGCTATGCATATGTTTTAACATACATGACACCGTGGGATTGTCCATTTCTTCGTCGAATTGCTCTTGTGATGTTATATTGCACAGCGTGTCCAGGGCATAGCCAACAATTTCGCAATCACTGCGATCCATTTCGAGGATTTGTACGAGTGCTGACATTCCTTGGGCACCAACCTCAACACGGAATTTACGCGACAACGATTTTAGAGCACGACATGCATCACGGCGATCTTCGAGCAGCGTTGATGTTGAAACACGATCTACCAATCGTTCAACCTGCGAATAAACAAAAAAAGAAAGAATGGATGAATAAAATGAACAATTATTTCTCTAACAAAAAACTAGAATGGAATATTTCGCTTTAGTATTGAGTGTTAATTAAAAGAATTAAGAAAAGTTATTTAATAGAATCTCAAAATAGTTTAAAAAAAGTGTGAAAAACCAAAAAATAAATTGTTTTTTCATCTTTTAAGATGTTTTTTTTTTTTTGTGTGAATGGTCAAATGTGTTATCGTATCAGTACATGTCATCTGCATTCTATGGAATATACCTGTTTTCTTATTTGCTCACAAAAATCGTGTGTGCATCGTTGCATATTCGTTATGATAATTATTCAAGTTCATAACCGAGCACATCTTCCAAACTGTAGCCAAATAATTTAAAATCAACAGCGTACAATTTATATAGACTTTTCGTCACGCTAACCGGAATTCGATTAAAATATTCACGCAACAATTCACTAGTGCCCGATGTACGTTGACTCGTCGGAAAGGTGATATTAACACCGGCCAAATGCAATGCAAGTGCTGAGTCGTCAATTAGTGTTTCATACTTTCCAATTATATTATATTTGATTGCACAAGGATGACATAACTTATTTATAGGTTCCCAATGTTCGTTAAACGAATAAAACGATTGATTTGCTTGATTGTTCATGCTTAGTTCAGGTGTTAACAGATACATAATGAATTCATTGAATGTGACGTCATGACCTCGATTTAGCGAATCGGTTGCTGCATTTAAACGAAATGATTTAATTATTTGTCGACCAATACGCTCTTGGAAGTATCGAGCACTTGGCATATTTCCTTCGAGTTTATTGCGATAGGCTGACAATAGGCGTTCGAATGGATGACGAACGATGATAAAACGAGTGTATTGCGTTAAAACTGTTTCACGTTCGTTCGGTGTTAACGCATTAAATTTACGAAAAATACCGGCCGAATGGGCCAATGCGGCCGGTATTTTCAGTGGATCGGTGCCATTTTTCCATTGATCTGTCATCAACATTAAAACACGTTTCCAATTTGTACATGCAACTTTTGGCACGTAACAATAGAGAAACTTGTGTTTATTATCGATTATCATGTGATCGAGTTGATCGTCTGGTATGTCAGCTATGTCTTCGAAAATTGATCGTGATTTTAAATTGGCACACACTTTTTGCACTTGCTCCTGACGCAATAAATTATTCGCCTGGGTCAATTCGAACCCATGACTATTCAAACGAATATTATTATTGTTCTCGTTCTCTAGGATTAAGGCAGGCAACGGTTGCACGTCAATTAAAATGCATACTATTAAAATTAAGCACAGCGAATTTGACACACGAAATGTGGAATTCAACATAGCTGACACTATTTTAATTAAATCGTTTGAATGCAACATTTTTTCGACTATTTCTATCGGTTACGCACATAAAACGCGATTGAACACACACAATTTGATCGACTTTAATTTGGATGCTTTAATTGAAGAAATTCACAGAAAAAAATTTGAAAAAAAAAAAAATGAAAAAAATGTTCGTTCGACCGCACTCCAATCTATTTTAAATGTACGTTTTTCAAATTATATACTTTTTTAAAGTAATTTTTTGAAACAAAAATCATTCACTTTATTCCAAATGGTGCTTAGGCGTTGGCAAAACACATATATCACAACGAACATGAATAGCTAAACTAATTAGTCATTCGCTTATTCTCATATTCTCCACTCTACGATAGTGAGTCAAGCATGCATTTGGGTTTCGATCTCACCAATCCTGAGGCTTTATTCACCAGTCGTTTTGTTTACTGCATCACTGTGTCTTTCTCTTACAACAGAGTATGGTTTGGACAGTCTTCAGTCATTAACCTTGCTCATATTGTTGTTTACTTCTCTTAACTTCAAAAGTAATTTATGACAAATCATTATAACACACTTCAGTTGATGATTTGTAAAACTAATTTGTATGTAGCTATAGTTGGTTGATAACAAACTTCAGTTAAGACCCTCTATGGTGAAGACCTAGTTCGTACGCTGATGATGGAAACAGCAGCATCACTGTTTCCGAAACTAGGCTTTCTTTCTTTTTAATTCCTTCACGGATTTTTTCTCTAAACACATTGTTATTAAAATTGTTATTTATAATCTTATCACTTTATTCTGGAATTCTCACTCTTTTACATTTCGATAGTTCTTTATTGCCTTCCAATTCTTGATCTCTATTAATTATTTCTCTCTCTATAAGAGTGTGTGTTTCGCTCCATTTTGCTTTTTGTGACTCCAACGGGGGAGATTTGCTGTGTTCGTGAACATCCGTGCGTTTTGTTCGGTTTGAGTCGCAAACTTTTGGTGAGTCTCTCTCTTCTTTAACTTCGTTTATTATATAACCATCCGCACGTTCAGAGCGGTGCCACCAGATTGACGAGTCTTCTGTTGAGTGCTTTGCACTCTGTAGTTCAATCCCTAATAAGGAGCGCAACATATTTTATACATACACATTGCGTTCAATTGATTGCAATGCAGTGATCGAATGCCCATTGAGAATGACTACTCCTGATCGATGACTCTCGGAATTATTTGTGAGATATATCTTGATGTCTTCATATGATGGGATGAAATGGGGGATACACCACCAAAATTTAAAGAACGATGACACATAAATCGAAACAATTTAAATTTTGAATCTTTATTGTTTTTTTTTTATTTGTTCACTAGATGAATAGTTAGATTTGAATTGGTATTCGATATGAAATGTGTAAGAATCTACGTTCCATTTGACTAGCAAATATGTTCAATGTTGGCATCTATACATCATTTTAATAGTAATAATGCTTGGATTCATGCATGCTTGTATTTTAATTAAAAATATCTTTATATTTGACTTAGTATAATAATAATTGATGATAATTCACAACGAAAAATGTATTGATGTATGTATAGATTTGCAATTTTATGTATTGATTTGATCAAACTGACGTAGCGCTGTTGTGTTAACAAAACCAAAGTTCCACATCATATTTGGATTATTGGCATCGCATTGGTTTACAAAGATTTTCATGGTTTTTGCATCAAAGTCCAAGCACCGATCATTGTGTTGAACCCACTTTTTTTCCTACAGACACGTTAAGATAATTTAATCGAATACGAAACGTAAAATTCGAAAAAAATATATGTAATCCAAAATATAATAAGTAATTCTTACGATGTTATATTTCCAGAGCTGATTTCCTTTTTGTCCGTGACAATCATAAAAGATAATTGGTGCGTTTGTATATGACGTTGAAACATCCCAACACTTTGTTGTGCCGTGTACTCTTATGTCTTTGTGCCAAGATAAAACGAAAAATTGATTTAATTGCGGTCGTCTATGATTTTCAGCACACGTGTATAAGCCGAACTCTTGGCCAATACCATGATTCAATGAGTCGACACACTGATTTGGATGTGATTCACTTTGTATAACTCCAGAGGCAAAATCAGGCGGCTCTACCGATGGATATTTTTTTAGCAAATCAAATGCAATTTCTTCCATGAACCATTTAAACGATTTGCACTGCAGTTTTTCACGTATTGCTTTTTGTTCTGTCAAATTGCCGGCATCAATACTCTCGTATCTTTCTGGATTACGCTGATATAAATATTCTTTATACTCATCCATCCAAACTTCCGCAACACGTTTGTAATTCTGAGATAAAGAAAGAACATGAATAAGTCGAAATTGAAAACCAATGAAAAACTATCGACCACCTTATGCAGAAAGTCGCCTCTTCTTCCAGTTGGCTGTGGTACACCACCTCCCCTATAAATATGTCCAACACGTGAGCAAGGAGCATCATACATTTCTCCCCCACATTGCCAAATTTTGAAACTTAACTCATATTGTTCACCACCTGAAATATATATATTTACTTAAAAAACTTTTAGAGTTTCACGTATTTTTTAAAACCTTACCCCAAATATCCAATCCATCATCGTAACCTCCCAATTCCCAGAAAAATCGCGCACTTATCGCGAATAACCCGCCAGCCATTACTAAAAATGCGATGTAACGTAAAATATAAACTTAATATCGGACTAAGAGTATTTCATTCAATCTTACTTGGACTTTTAAATGGTCGCGTTGGATGCGCTAAATCTTCAGGCAGTAAAGGTAGCCGTTTGTAGAAAAATTGCCAATCAAATGCACCTCTCGCACCTTCATCTTGTGCTCGATATTCGAAAGTATCGTAACTAATAACATCGATGAATGGGCACACGCATACTTTATAATTTTCAGCAATGGGCTCTAAAACAAGAGAAATAGCAGTTTCGCGTACAAATAGATTACAACTATTTTGTTAGATTAATTTACCCAGTAATGGTGGTAACCAGTTTGTACTCGCTTCGGTGTGCGAATCTAAAAAGATTAAAACGTCACCATTCGCAGCTGGAGAAGAGATAAAATTATTACGGTTGTTATTTATTTTGTTTTTCGGTATTAATATTTGTTTTATACCCTTAGCTCCGGCTAAACGTGCCACTATCAACCCTGATCTTTCGTTCAACCGAATAATTTTGACTTTTGGCAAATATTTTGCAACATATTGATCGAGTTTTCTCTTTAAAAATTGCTTATTACTAGCATCGTCTACTAAAATAATTTCCATAATCAACTCTGGTGGCGATCGATTCAGTACGCTGTAAACTGTACGTAAAAGTGTGCTCCAATGTTCATTAAAAAATGGAACAATTATGCTCACGGTTGGCAGATCTTTTAAGTATTTCAATTTTGCGCAGCTAGTTAGTTTAAATAAAATAAAATTAATTAAATATTAAATCATGAGAATCGTTAAAAATTACACACTCTTTATGGCGAATATCTTTAACAGATCGATTAAGTGCAATTTTATCACTAAGCAGTGCATTGAATCCGTTTTGATCAAATAGTTGTTTGCGTTCGTCTTCCAAATCTGGTGATATAAATGCGGCGATACCATGTTCGCCGATACCATGTCGTAATTTTTCTGCTTCAATCAATTTATAATCGTGCCAATCTATTTTCAATCGTTTAACATTTTTTAACTAGGGTAAAAAGAATGGAATAGCAATTTTTAATTCTTCAGTAATGGCTATAGTAATTTTTAAGTGATTATACCTCATTTTTTACACTATTCATAAAAAATGAACCTTGTCGAGGATGAATTGAACGCCTTGCACTGGCAAATGAATGCATGAGATTTTCGTCATAGTCGTCGTCATATCGATGATGTGATGATGAAAAGAATGTTTTATATAGAAATATTGTCAAAAAAACCATCAGTGCACACAACAACATGAATTTGAACAGGCTAGTCAAATTGCGACGCATGGTTATCGTCTAAAAAAAGATGATTTACAAATGAAATGATTTAGGCATTTAAATTAAAATTAATCTATGAGAATCGAAAGCTACGTTTCGATGCGGAAATATTGTCGTTTTGTCTTGCTTTTGCGCATGGATTGAAAAACGGATGCTGATTAGATAACATGTATGCTACTTTTTTGGATTTTTATTCATCATCGAGCGGACACAGGCGGTTTTTTTTGGATTTTATTTTAAAAAAAATTGACTTAACCAAGCAAAAATTCAATAGGGGTATCTCGGACGATTTAAGGGGGGGTTATCCGGGCTTACACCCCCCCCCCCGTGCCCATGTATGCTCTATGTAAACTGTAGCTTATTTGAGGTTTTAATTGAAACTGAAACTTTTCATTTTTCATTAAACCAAATGTTTATTCCATTAAGTGTTTACATTCTACCATATAACTTTTTTTTTTAATTTCGTCTAATATGCAAGTTTGTATATAATAATAAAACTGTGTCATTTTGAAGTGAGGTTCATTTTAATCCAATGAATTTTATATTTTTTGAGAATTGTTTGATTATTTATAATATTAATGTTTTAATAATAATGCAAACGTAAAACACAGTAAATTCAAACAACTAAATTAATAACATGTTAAAATGACTATTAAAGCTATTTCGAAGCAACATTTTCGTTGAATACCTGAGAATAAATGATACAGTGGATTATTTTAAAAATATATATAGAATTCAATAATCAATAAATCGTTAGTAGACGTTAATATAATTGCTGAAAAAATATTATCGAACCTTTTAACAATCACTGACCAACAGACAAGGAAAAATAAGTGTGTGAATATTTAAACCGTAATCAATTAAATAAAAACGTCGAAGAAATTGAATGTCAAAAACAAAATTGCGACCGCATACAATTTCTAGCACATTCAGAGAAGACATTTTCATGATAATTTCTGGTTTAATGTGTTTCTAATTGCGTTTCGAAAGTCAAAAACTTACACACTTCTCAGATAGCCAACTAAAATGTAAGAAATTTGAAAAAAAAAATGTAAACGTTTTAGATGGACAAATTTCTTTCGCTTTCAAATCGAAAATATGGATATAAATGTTTATGTGCGAATTCTTGTGATCGTCGATCGATTGAAATTGAAGCAGAAAACCAGTTTTGTTTTGTTCATCAATCATTAGTCAAATTAAAAAATTCATTTCAGCAATGAATTCGATCTTAGCAATGAATTTGTAATTTCTTTTACCTTTCAAAACAAAGACAATTTATTCATTCAATGTGCATTTTTATTATTAATCTTCACTTCACTAGTACTCGCAAAAACAAGTCATCACGATATTTTTATGTATAGTTTTAAGTGATAAAACACCGGCTATACTAAACCAATATTTGAAAAGTCGTTCAACAAATTATTGTGATTATGTGACAGCAAGAGAAATATATACATACATACATACATCATATATAGCAATGAAAAAAAAACTGATAAACTATTCCCATAGAGGGCACTGTAAAGGAAGAATCACAAAAAAAAAACAAATGAAATGGGAAATATTTATTTTCCGTGAATTGAAAGGAAAAAACACGTAGATTATATTCCTTTTTGCTAGACGTCGATTTTCCGTGAATAAAATGTAACAATTCGATTTATTTGTTCAAAAAATATGTCTTATAAGTCAATTGTGTTTGCTCATAAAAAACGGTATGAATTCGATCGATCATATCTCGATCGTGAAATATTATAATTGAATATTAAAATAATTATTATAATCTAATATTAATGGGAATTAATGATAAATGACAGATGGAATGAACATCCGGGGTTGATTTGAATCAGATTCGCGATTACGAAGTTTCTATAAACACCTATAGGAAGAAGCAATGGCGATTAAACTTGAAATGCAGTTTAGTATCTATCACACACAAACTAGAAAGAAAAATCCAAAACCACAAGCAGTGCGATCGTTTTTCATTTTTATTTCTTCATCTTTCTCATACAAATAAAAAAATTATTTTATGTTGTTTTCAAATTACAAACATAGTTGTCAAAATTGACACATCGCACAACTGTCAAAAATGAATACATATACATGTAAACAAATTGATGACAATATGAAGTTTTCGCTTTCCATGTGCAAGACCTCTTAAATTGCTTAGAAAGTTTTGATGAACATCTAATTTTCTTAATGAATTTTGGCATAAGTGAGACATTATCGATGAAATTTCTTTGATGAGTTAATATTATTGAAAAAGGAATTCATTACTTCTCGCAACTCACTGAAAAGATACACAAATTTAGAACTTTCGGTTAATATTTCGTGTATCAATAAGAACATTGTACCAAGTGATTTAGAATCTTGCTCTTTGTGTATATATTAATTTGGAGTAGATGTTTATGTACTATTTTTTAAAGTTCAATCATAAAAGAATTTGAATTGAAAGAATTGAGGATTTTTTATTAAAAAAATAAAAAATAAATAAATTCAACAATGTCCACAGCCAAGTGTGCTAGTCTTTTAAAGCAAGAGTTTCCATCGATTGACAATGAAATGAAACAATATATCGAAGGTGTACTCGATAGCGGAATGGACGATTTTGACAGCAGCGATGACTTATATGATGCAATTGGTGCGATTTTGCATGAAGTGTCAGAAGAAAAGTCCGAAAATGATATCAGGTAACGAATAATTCGTTGGATTACAAAAAAGAAGAGACGGAATAATTATCAAAGAAATCGTTTGCAGGGATTTATGTGAGCAATTGCTGTGTTTGATGAAACCGAGCGAGAACAAGAAGAGTGGCACCCAAAAAGTTCTTGATGCACCAATAAATATTGCCGAGATGGCTGCCAATAATATAACTAATGTAACCGATGTGTCTAGCATTTGGGTAATACATTCACTTTCTTTTGAAATTTCATTTTCATGTGTTCCTGTTTAAGTTTATTGATATCCATTACTTACATTCTTTTCTATGTGAACTTCCAGGTAATAAATCGTGATGACAATTTGGTAAGTGATCTAATTTTACTTTGAATGATACTTTTATTATTAAATTTTAATTATTTTATAGAAAGTTGACTCGAAGAAATTGGAAAAGGCACAACAAAAATTACAACAAAAACAGGAAAAACGATCGGAAGCGCCAAAAGCACCTGTAATGCCATTGCAATTACAAACGGCCACCGCATCACAAGTCATCAATAAGAAGGAAAGCCAAATGGATGCAAAAGGCACAAATCGCTCCATGGATATTCGAATAGAAAATTTTGATGTTTCCTTTGGTAATAAAGTCTTACTACAAAATGCTGATTTACTATTGGCGCATGGCAGACGATACGGTTTGGTTGGACGGAATGGACTTGGTAAAACTACGTTGTTACGAATGATTTCGGGAAAACAATTACAAATCCCAGCACATATATCGATATTACATGTAGAACAAGAGGTTATCGGTGATGATACGACCGCATTGAATAGGTACATTTCGTATTTTTAATTAACGAGCATTAAAAAAAGTTGTTAATCGGTTTTGAATTGATTCCTTTTTTTTTCAACTGAAGTGTACTCGAATGTGATTTTGAGCGAACACGATTGTTAGCAGAAGAAAAGAAAATTAATATCGAAATCAATGTAGGCTCATCAAATCCTGAACTCAATAAAAAACTAACTGAAGTATATGCGGCCCTTGAAAATATTGACGCTGACAAAGCACCAGCTCGTGCATCTGTTATTTTGAATGGCTTAGGTTTCAATAAAGATATGCAAGCACGTGCAACAAAAACTTTTTCAGGCGGTTGGAGAATGCGTTTAGCATTAGCTCGTGCCCTATTTTCGCGGCCCGATTTACTGTTGCTTGACGAACCAACTAACATGTTGGAGTATGTTTTCCGTATACATATTTCATCTGTTAAAACCAAAAAATAATTAACGAATATACTTTCTTTTGCAGTATAAAAGCAATCATTTGGTTGGAAAATTATTTACAAAATTGGCCATCAACGCTTCTGGTTGTGTCTCATGATCGCAATTTTTTGGACACCGTTCCAACTGATATTCTTCATTTGCATACACAACGAATCGATGTTTATCGTGGAAACTATGAGCAGTTTGATAAAACACGTACCGAAAAATTAAAATCGCAACGTCGTGAATTTGAAGCACAATTAGCGCATCGACAACATGTACAAGAATTCATTGATCGTTTTCGATATAATGCCAATCGCGCGGCTAGTGTACAGTCCAAGATCAAAATGCTGGAGAAATTGTTAGTGTTTTACGACATGTTGATTGATTTTTTTTGCCAGAAGAAAAAACTTCTGCTGAAAATTGGGTTAAAATTCAAATCAAGAAATCATACATTTTTTCGTTATTTCAAATTTCAGGCCTGAATTGAAACCTGTGGAAAAAGAAATCGAAGTAGTAATCAAATTCCCAGATGTTGAACCGCTAAATCCACCGGTGTTGACACTCAACGAAATTGCATTCAAATACAATAAAGACAAAGTAATTTTCACATGTGTAAATTTGTGTGCCAATTTAGATTCACGAATTTGTATTGTTGGTGAAAATGGTGCAGGTAAAACAACACTGTTAAAAATAATTATGGGCATTTTATCGTCAACAAGTGGAACAATATCACAGCATCGTGGCTTAAAAATTGGTTACTTCGCCCAACACCATGTTGATCAATTGAATATGAATACAACATGCGTTGGCCTTTTACAAGAAGCAATCCCCGGTCGTCCCGTTGAGGAGTATCGACGTCAATTGGGTGGTTTTGGGATATCTGGTGATTTAGCTTTACAATTAGTAGCCAGTTTATCTGGTGGACAAAAATCACGTGTCACATTGGCCAAAATGTGTATGGCACGACCAAATTTCCTAATTCTTGACGAGCCGACCAATCACTTGGATATTGAAACAATTGCCGCACTGGGCAAAGCGTTGACAGAATTCAAAGGTGGTCTTGTGCTGGTTTCGCACGATGAACGTCTCATTCGAATGGTTTGCAAAGAATTATGGGTATGTGTCTATTAAATATTACCTTTCCATTATTGAAAAAAAAAATGTTAACCATATTTCCATTATTTTTTTCTGATATTTCCTCAGGTCTGTGGAAACGGTACGGTTACCAATATTGAAGGCGGTATTGATTATTACAAACAACTTATTTTGGCCGAATTGAACGAAGCCACAAAATAAAATAATAACCGGCTTAAAATACCAAGAATACCTGTTTATATATAAATAATTTGATTTTATTTGAACACTAATTTCGTTAATATATATATTTAAAACAAAAATTGTTTTTTTTTTTTAAATTTTCTTCTACAATCGATGAAATCAATTTACAAATCGATTTTTCTCGATTTAATGCCAGTTTGAGGCAAGCCTCGAATTGCCGATCACTTATTGACACTCCATCTGGCTTTAATACCAAACACATTTCACCATTGCACGTTACAATTGTGATTAGTGATGTTGCCAACTCTTCTTCTTCGGCATCTGGATCAGCAAAAACTGTTTTTCTGGAACAAAAGTATACAATCAATTTAAAATTGAGATCATCGTTTTTCTTTCCGAATTACAATTTTTTTTTTTCGAGAAATATGAAAAGCGGACAAGCGAATTTTAATAACTTTTTTCGTTATCTGCGCCCTAAAATTTATATTTTGTATTACAATTTTCTGTATTATAGAAGATAATTACTCATCAAATATCATGGCCGTTGTACAAACTGGACAAACTTCCGACAGTTTCAATGGTGATCGGTCAATTTTGTGGACTGTATAGTTGTTGGTTTCATCATCATACTGTACTTTTGGCAATGTAACTAAAAAAAAAACAATATTTTATGTAGATCGATGTACCAATAAAATTTTGATTTTGTGCAAATTAAGATGAAGGGGTCAATCTTTTTAACGTATTTTCTCTGCAACTTGGTGTACAAAAAAATCGTTCGTTTTAAATATCTTACTTACGACTTCTTAGTGCAGCACAAATTGCAACTACCGATGCGTCTAAAATACTGCCATCGTAATCAACACATGTGATATCACAGTATAGAGTCCAAACGAGTCGTTCCTTGGCTATACATAGGTTTTTCAAATCAATCCAATTGGCTTCTTTGATTAAATTATTTAAGTTGCATGTTAAAACTTGTGCATCATCATTTGTATTGTTTGAACGATACTTTGGTGAACAAAGTGGTGTTAAATCAATATTTGGAATGAGATAACCCTTTTCCGGCTCCTCAACAGTTGGTGCGGATAATTCCTGGATGTGTAAATTTCAGAAAATGTCCATTAATTTGCTTTTATATGAATAAAAATAAATTGATCGTATTACTATAAATGAATTTCATATTATATTTACCGCTTTAATACCACAGATTACGGTTGTGTTGCCTAGTTTAACAATGGCTGATCCATCGGCCGTTCCAATTGACTTGACATTTATTCGGATCGGTCGAAATGCCTCAAACTCTCTGCCATCTGGCCGAATATCATGTGCGATGTAATTACGATAATATTTAATAGGATGAATTATTCTATAGGCAAAAGACAAAACAAATTGTGTCCATGTGAGGTTAAGTTGATTTTTTTTTTCAAAACTATTAAATGTGAAATTAATTGATAGCTATAACACATACTTGTACTGTTCTTCCATTTCACTTTTTTTTTATTCAGGCCCAAGAAAATGTTAAAGACAGATTTTAACAATTATATTAAAGTCAAACGTGAATTTTTAGCATTGAAGATATGTATGAGTCAATGTCATTTGATATTCATGAGCACGCTTGTATTTCCTGTATCTGTATTTGTTTGTGACAGTGACAATATATGTAAGAGAAACTGAAATTTGAATTTTCATAAAATACGTTGAAGGAGGAAGATGATTTCGAAAAAAATTACATTTAAAAATGGTTTCATGGCAACATTTAAAAAGATTTTTTTTCTGCCAATCCCTTCTTTTTCTATTTCTCAGCGTCCCTCTTTATTTTGACATGTTTTTAATTTCGTATGTATAAAAAAGGGCAATAAAAATAAAATGTTGAAAATGGTTCGTCTTTCAAAAAAATGTTTTTTTTTAATCTTGAAAAATTATTTCCCTTTGTGTATTCCTTTTCTTAAAAAAAATTCACCACTGACTTTGAACGCGTTTCACGTCATAATTCGAGCAGTAGAACGAATACCTATACATATATACACAAACATACACACACACACAGAGAGAGAGAGAAAGAGAGAGCGAGAGAGAGAGAGAGAGAGACGTAAAGGAGAAGAGACGTAAAGAGGAAAAAAGCTGCTTGCGCATTAATTCGAACGCGCGTAATATGCGTACACACTTCCAATAGCATGTGTGGAGTTGTTTGAGTATGTGTGTAAATATGTTGAATATTCTCAACTGCATATTTGTCTCTATCGTTTATATGCTGTGCTATGCGTTTTCAGAGTGATTTGTTCTCGCTCTTACCTTGCTATGGTCCTGCAAAGCATTTTTGAATTTTTTTTTCAAACACAACCGATTTGAAGCACGCACTAGTGAGTATTGGAGAAGCCATAGCATAAGCATCAAATTAAAAAAAATATACATTGATTTCTCTCGCATATGCGCATCTTATTTGAAACATTTTTGAGTTTCGATTGTGTATTGTTTCAAATTTAAATTAACTATAAGAGTTTCGTATGTAAAAAAAAATTCAATGCATTAGTTTTTCTGATATCAGTATGTGCTACAATTATGCGCATTTGACTTTATAAAAACTGTCGACGACAAAACTATCTTTACCAATATAAAAGTTAGTTTATTTCTACGTATTTGTCTGTTTTCAATCGACATAAATTAAGTTTGTGAACGAAAAAAGGAAAAAGAACACCACCACCAACAACACCACTACCACCACCAACAACAACAACAACAACACACTTCGACACACCGAATCGCTGTTAGTTGGTGAGATCCAACAAAGGAGAAAAACAGCGAAGAACAGATAATTAAAAAAATGGCGACAGCATTTCGTATCCATGAAGATATTGAAAATGTTTTGGATGCGGTGGCCCAAAAAAAGGACCAACATCATAAAACTACCAGCAACATAATTACTGGTAAAATTAATCAACAAAAATTGGAAAAGCAAACATTGCGATCTACATTTGCAATTTTAAATAATGTGAACAGCGATAATGGTCGAATTTTTATTGCTGCAGGCAATACAACGCATGGACAAAAAACGGTAAGCAAACAAAAACAATTACTTCCAATTTACGTTAAAAAATTATTTGATATGAAACAAAATTGATTTTTTTTAACTGTTTGGACCAAATGGGAGTCATTTTTAATAAAGACACACATTTTCTGGTGATGTTTTAATTGCACATTAATTATAGTTTAAACGCGAGACGCACACACATTCTGTTTTACATGAACATATTTTGAGAGTGCATACCTCGGATCGTTTCTAATTTACGAATTGATCTTTTTCTTCGAATTTTTTTTTTTTGTACATTTTTGGATTATTAAACATCTAGAAACTTTGTAATCAAGACTCATCGGAAGTATGCTATTTTTCGAGTAGTTTTTTTTCACCTTTATCATTTTTTTATTTGCCATATAGGCGTTCAATGTGATGCAAGGAAAAAGTACCGTTTTAAAGACAAACAACGAGAATGTGGTACCAAGAGTGAACAATGTCAAAACGGTCACAACAGAAACGTACAAAACATTTGTTGGTGCATTGAGTACAGTCAATGTCACACAAATCACCGATGAAAATCAACCACCTCAAAACGACGAAGTTGATCATGCTAACGCCATTATTACTAATTGCAGTTTTTCTGGAATTAGGTTTGCATATATTACACTTTAATTTAGAATAATAACCAATAAAAAATTTATATTTATGTACTTAAAAACTCTTGTATGCCTATAGTCTAAATTAATTGTAGAATTCTGCAAAATTAATTTTATGAATTTTATCAAATTATTTCTTGTTAGTGTTTGTTACATAATATTTTTAAATATTACATAGATTACCATTGCAAGAGATTAAACAGGATGTCGAGACACCAGTATGTATGCAAGACATTTTATCGCCGATGTCAATTGATAAATCTCTTATTGAAAATGAAGCAAATGTATCTATTTTAACTGTTGACGATCAAATGATTGATGCGAATACCACCGCACTTTCTACCACATCGTCCAAACGTTTTGCAGCTAAAGATGATCTCGAAAAATTCTTCGAAGTTGAAGAGTATCGTGATGATATTTTGGTAAGTGGTGAAAGAGAAAAACAATACAGATGCAACATTTATTGCATTCAAGTTATATCAAACGAAGAAATGAACGCTCTAGAATAAAAACAACATCAGTACGTTGTTAACAACCATTCTGTACGTTGTTTTTATTCTAGAGTGTTCTAATATAGATATAGAATGAATGTGAACGATGCCTTGAATGATTTCAATAACAATTATTTGTTATTTTATGAAAGTCTTTTATAGATTCATTACAATTTTACAGTATTAAATTGTATTATTGTTTGTTTGATTTTCTTTTAGGATTATTTGCGTGAGGCTGAAATGCGCCACCGACCAAAACCTTTGTATATGCGTAAACAGCAAGACATCAGTCATTCCATGCGCACAATTTTGGTTGATTGGCTCGTTGAAGTTGGCGAAGAGTATCGTTTACAAAATGAGACATTGTGTTTGGCCGTTTCATACATTGATCGTTTCCTCAGTGTTATGTCAGTGGTACGTGCAAAATTGCAGTTGGTCGGCACGGCTGCTATGTTTATTGCTGCCAAATATGAGGAAATTTATCCACCAGATGTTGGTGAATTTGTCTACATCACCGATAATACGTACACAAAAAAGCAAGTATTACGCATGGAACAACTAATTTTGAAAGTGTTAACATTTGACTTGTGCGTTCCAACGACGTCGGTATTTCTCAATGCATATCCAATTGTCGAAGATCTCCCAAAAGATGTAAAATGCATGGCACAGGTAAACGATTTATAATTTCAAATTGTTAATTGTGTTATTTTCAATCAATTTTCTTCCTCTCTCACACACACACACACACACACACACACAAATGTAGTACTTGTGTGAGTTGTCATTGTTGGAAGCTGAACCATACTTGCAATACACTCCATCAATGATATCAGCAGCTGCAATTGCATTGGCCCGCTTAAATTTTGGTTTGCCTATTTGGTCATCACGTCTCGAGAACTTTACTAGCATTCAAATTCATAAATTGACCGACATCATTCTTCACTTGAGCGAATCACATTTAGCTGCAATAAAATCACCACAACAAGCTATACAGGACAAATATAAGACCTGCAAGTAAGAGTTACTTTTCATTTTATTTATTGAAGTCTTCTTTCATAAAAAAAAACTTTGATTTTAATTTAAAAAAAAAAAAATTCTTCGTAAAACATAGGTATTCAGAGGTATCAACCCGAACACCATTGCAAGTCGACGAAATGATTTTAGCGGCAGCCATTCAACAAATGAATTCAGAAACGGCTGACATAGAATCAGCTGACACAGACAAAGAATGTAATTAAAATGTAAGATAGATGATATCATCATTACAATTCGTATCCCAAACAATCAACAAGGTAGTTTGCGGAATAGTGTTTATGCCCTTGCATGAGATGGAAAAAAGCAAAAAGTCGAAAAAGTTCGTTGCAGCAATCGAATAAGAGTAAAATATAGAATAGAAAATTTAGAAGAAAAACATAAAAAACAGACCAAAGGGAAAAATTCTTACATTATCAACATTCTTTGTACGCATGGGATCCAAATAGGATTTTATGGGAGTTTAAATAATTCTTGACACCTTCGATCTATTCAGATAATCCAACTCTTAAGACTAAATTTATAATAAGCAAATGATTAATGATTTTTTTTTCTCATTATTCGCAAGAAATAAGGACAAAAAAGGAAATTTTCTTTGACATAATAAAATATTCATAAATAAGCAACATAGAATATTGAACATTGAAAGTTCTATTTTTACTGAGAAAGAGAGACATGTCCTTGTATCAATAAATTCACTGTATGTTTTAATGTAGCTTCCCATGGAAAAAGAGACAAAAAGAACAACGAATGAAATACATTTACAAAACGAGATCAATTGACAAAAATTATCTTTTAGTTGCTGATGCCGATTTTTTCCTCGTTTAACTCAATTTTACGCTTAAAAAAGTTTTTTTTTTTAATATATAAAGTATCATTTTCTTAGTCGAAATACAAACTTGCACGTGTCATGACCATATGATGATAATGATGATGAGGTCATTCTTTGCTCATCTCAATAAGTCAATCTCTTTCGTTTGTCATACTTTTTTTATATACTCGCGTTATATAAAACATATTTGATAGTTTAAAATAGTTTTTTAATCGATAATATTTATTTATAGCCCAATTAACTTTTGAAGTACATGAAAAAGATGTATTTCAAATTTGACATAATATTGTAAGGTACGCAGAGAAAAAACAACAAATAAATTATTCACCTAATTTATACATTTAAATAAGAAAACCTACATTCTAATTTAAAGCTTAACCACGTTTAAATCAACATGACACACAAATATGCATTTTTTTTTGGCGGCCTGAAAACGTCATGTTCGTTAAATGAATATACATTACCTGAGTAAAAGTATAATGAAAAAGACTTTGCATACGCGCGTTTTTTTAAAAACATAAATAAGTTAAACTCAACAGAAAAGAACATAATTCGCATCTAAACAATATTTAATGCTAGTTATTCTTTGTCTGTTAATAATTAACGTAAAAACAAATCAATTTATATAAATTGAAAATAGAGCAGGCAAAATGTGTAGTAATTAATTTAGTTAAGCGTTTAAGCATGTGTTAGTTGTAACAGCCTGAGAATGAATGAGTGAAACTCGTCAATCAATTTTCTTTTAAATACAAAACACATCTGCATATTTTGAGACGTTGCACTTCGATAAAACTTTATTTTGAAGTCTGATGCATTTATTCTCAGGCACTCATTTCATTTTTAAAGTTTATTTCTATTAGTTTTTTGTGTATTCACCATAATTTTTTATTAGACGTATATGCATTAGCATCAAGTGGTAAAGTAGCTTTAAAACCATAAAAAAAGACAACAAAAGACAAATTTGTTGGAATTGTATGTAAGCAAATGTGAAAATAATAATAAAAATATCGATGCCAGTTTTTGACTGATATGAAATTACATACTAATTGTAAAAGTAAATTTCAGAAAGATTACCCTCTATCACGTTCAGGTATTTTTTCGAAATTTTTGGTATTCAACTGAGATAAGAATAAACTTTTTGAAGAAAAGGTTTTTTTTTCGGCTGATAGAACTTTGAATTGAAATAAAACAAACAACGATTCGAATTTAACCAACTTTAATATTGCAAATGGTAGCTCTGATAAGTACAAATATAATAGAAAAAAGAATTAAAAAAATCACCACACTTTGGTTTAGTAGGTACCATCCGAAAGTCACAACTTTCGTTTAATACAACAATTCAGTCACAGAATCGTAGTGTACCAATGTAAGTACTAAAATTTATCTGATACATCCATTGCATGTGAATAGATTTATCTGACGATGTTCCAGATTTCCTAAATACTACATTCACATAGTCTATAGTCTAACACCCAAAGAGGTAGGGATATTCAGTGCAGAAAATTCTCGACGTGACTCTATTCAACCAAATGTAACAAATCAGTAAACTTAGCCCAGGTTCCATGAAGCACATACATATTTTACAAACCACCCGTAAAATATCACACTTATGTCTGACTTAAAACAAAATGCTTCGTTGCAGAAGACGATGAAGATGAAACAAGTAGAAGCTCGCTATTTATTCGTATTTTTACAATATGGTTCATTATACAATTCCCTATACTTAATATTTATTATACATTTCTCTTTGATTTTGTTTTCTAATTTAATTTAGTTTATATTCAATTTTTGGATTTATCACTTTCCGTGCAAAAAACTGCTCAAACAATCGATCGATTCGGTATTAAAACGATTTCATCTCATTGGAATTTTATTATATAGGCTATGAGAAATAGATTTTAGTATAAATTCAATCGAATGATGATAATTTTAAACAATTTGGAATTCATGTAAATTGCATCATTCTTTATTGACGCGGGCTTTTCATCGATTAGTTAGATGGCTATGAGCTTAGCGTAGATGTGTCTGAGCTTACACTGAAACTAAAAGAAGAATAAATATTAAATATAACATCTGCACTTATTCTACTTTGATAATATCAATTGATAGACAAGGGCACCTGTTTTATGCCGTGGCACTCTGGTACAATGTTGATACAAATGCATGTCAAAATCACAGGAAAAATCATTGTCCAGATTAAATTTGGAAAGTGATTTGCCCTTCACTCAAATTGATCATAAAAAGAAAAATTTTCAAAAAAGGGAATCAAATAATTCTAATACGGATGATGTCAATCACAGTTCCATGTGTTTAAACATCATAATTATGATTCAAGTTGTTTTATAGAAGTCGTTTCTGTTAAGTTGTTTGTTTGTAGAAGTTTTATTTTTTATTCAAGTTGTTGAACTACTTTTGTTTAGTCTGTGTTAGTCGTTGACCTTTTTTCATGATTTTTCAGAAGAATATTTTTTCGTAAATTCAAAAAACGATGTGGTTTTTTTCTATACCTGGGTGAATTGGGATCATATGTCGGCGATTTGGGTGGATGAGCATCTTTAACGACACGAATAGCAACAGCCAACTTAGTAACAAACAAGGTCCAGCGTTTATTAGCAAATATCTGCTGCAATTGGCCTCTAATTTGTATGACCTGATCGAATGGCCATTCAAATGTATAAGATGTGCTATCATTGGCTGGATTAGCAGTCTAAAAAACCAAGTATTGTCAGTCAATTGCGAAATGACCAAATCAGTTAATCAGTTACCTGCAATTCAAAATGAATTTGCTGAGACCCATGTGGAACTGTTGCAATTAACACGTAAACAAAGCCGTCAAATACGTATCTAAGTGCATATTTTGTTGTGTTAACGTTCCAGTTATTAGGCAATTTGTATTGACCTTCGATATCATCCAACGCTTGCAGCTATATTTGAAAGGAATACATTGTCAATTTAAACACAATTTACACATTTTTCATTTAAAAAATCGCTTGCTTGCGAAACACGTTCGTTATTTTTCGTTAAGTGTAATGAAAAAATGTATTCTTACCTCTTCTCCCAACCCAATGCATTTAAAACCAGCGTGAATGGCCAAATAATTATGAGCAATTGCAACCAGGGTATCAGATTTACAATTTAAACTATCTGCGATGCTTTCTTCAATAAGATCCCAAAAGGCAGACATTTTGATTGCATTGTAAATTTTACAAAATAGTGCAATAGCAAAAAAATGTTGTCGACTTGATGAATCAAAACTCAAGATATGTTGTTCATGACAGAAGAAAAATCTCATTCAAACGTAATGAAGTTGTCAGCACATGACAAATTCAAATTCGTATCGATTCACTGCATATCGAAATGTTATGATAAAAATTGAGAATTTTGCTGCCGAAAATCGATTTAAATGCTGATAAACATATTTCAATAATAATTTTGTTAAGGTTGATCGATTTTTCACGAATCCATGTTGGCTGTGGCTGATTTTCGCATTAACGAATGTGTCGATTTTGTCATACACAACAATTTCGAATAATTTGGCTATTGTTGGTATTATCACGATCGGCCGATAATTTGATGCACTGCTTTTTTTTCCAGACTTGAATATTGGAACAATTCTGGAATTTTTCAATGCTGCCGGAACACATCCTTGATTCAAAGACTTACGAAATAGCATTGTTGACGGCTTTGACAAAGTATGCGCGCAGTTTTTCAGTAATTTTGGTGAAATACCAAGGGGGAAGTACTAAATACGTCTAATACCAGTAATACGATCTAGTACAATAAAAATACCGAAAACTACCAAGTAATACGACTTAGTAATGAGGAATTTTTAAAGCACTGACTGAGAGAAACGAGACACATGCAAACCGAAATAATTAAAATTCAATGCACACATTTTTGTTGATTTTGTTAAATATTTTTTACATTTTTGAGAAGTGTTCTAAGAAGCTGACACAATTTCATATTTAATCAAAATCTCTACACAAATCAGAAGATGAAAAAATATATTGGACCGAAGTTAGGTTAGATTTTAACATGTCAAAACTAACAAATTTTGTGTGTTGAAGAAATATATATAAAATCTTGTCCGTTGGCATATTTTTATGATATTGATTCAGTTATTTTGTAATATTAAAATTGTAAGCAAGAGTGATACAAAAAATATTGTTTTCAAATTATTTTTCTTTCACACAGATGAATATCAGATCGCTTGTGAATGCTCTAAAAAATGTGTAGTACTAAAGTGTATTACATGGTATTTTTCGGTATTTTTATTGTACTAGATCGTTTTACTGGTATTAGATGTATTTAGTACTTTTCCCTTTGTGAAATACCATCTGGGCCGGCTCCTTTTTTTACATTGATCGTTTGTAGTGCTTTCATCACGTCTACTTCATTGATGTCAATGTCAAACAAGATGTCATCGCATCCATTCAGCAATTGATCCAAGTCGATATTGTCGCTCTGTGTATACTGATTTTTAAAATAATCTGCAAATAATTCCGCTTTCGATATGTCTGTGCTTGCAATTTCATGAGCAAAGTAATGCTTACTTATAAATGTCACAGAGCAACACAAATTCAATGTTCAACGTGTGATCGCCTTCGATATGAAGAGTCAAGGATCTCTCATCATATCTTTGAGCTTAATTTAACCAGCGAGATATGTGTAAGTGTGTAATGAAAGAACGAAGATGCATCCACACTCACTGTCCAACAGCTTTATGTGACTGATTTATTATTGTTGTTGTTTCTTCTTATTCGTTTCATCAAGTTTATCGATGGAATAAAAGATGGCGCAGGCGCAGATCAGGAATATTTATGCTTCTGAAAGGTTTTTTTTTTTGAATCACTCTAATCATATCTCAAATGTGTTGGCATTTCTATATTGTTATGCCATCTATTACCGAAACGTTTGAAACTTCACGCTTTTGTATAGTTTTTGAACTTTCGCATACAATACTCATTTAAAAATTTGATGAATTTCGAAAATACAAAACAATGGCAATGTGTTCCAGACCGTCTCTTACTGACAAAAAATATTACCAAAAAATGAACGCCGAACGCTCGAATGTGTCGAATCATTCATTCCAACCAACACGACGTAATAGCGATTCAATCTATGATTTCAACCGAAAAATAACAAGTGCTTCTAAGAATTTTAATGAATTTAAAAAATTGTGAAATAAAAGAACAAATGTGAAACGTAAAAACGTTTGAAATTAAACTTTTATTATTTTGCAAGTATCTTTTTGGCAAAATTTCAATAAGTAATTAAAATTATGTACACCGAAATCCTTCAAATATTAAAAATAAATTGTTGGGATCCAAAATTATACGAAATACAGTTAATAAATGTTGTGAAAGTTTTGACTGGAACTATCTTTTGACTGGTACTATAGTCTATCTCACCTAATCTTTTCCACCAAATATAAAATATCATAGAAACTTGGCATTCATATGTGCCTAAATCTTGAGGTTTCACATCTTTCACCACAGGTGTGTGAAGTTTTTTCCTCGACATTCGAATATTTAAATGGGACCTTCACATAAAAATCGTTCGTAAATAGTTCATTGCGTTCCTTTAAGGAAAAAAATAGTTCGTTTTTGGGGGCCGAGATAATTTTTGTACTAAAAACCATTTTTGTAAAATTTCCGCAAATAATAAAATTTTCAAAAAATTCTTTCACCAAAAAATCGTTTGTAAATAGTTCGTTCCGAATCGAGGAGAATATTTGCACTTTTTTTTAATTTTTGCAATTTTTTTTCAAAATCAAAATTTTTGATTTTGAATTTTCGAGCTCGAAAGAGATATGAAAAAAATTCTTTCACCAAAAAATCGTTCGTAAATAGTTCGTTCCATATCATATGATTTTATGGGATATTTTTTATTTTTTTCCGAAAACTTGAACATTTTGATTTTTCCCAAAAAATTGGAAAAAATGGATTAAATTCAATAAAATAAAACTGCCAAAAATAGTTCACAATTAGTTCGTTCCATACATATGATTTTCTCACTTCTAACGTTTTTATTTAATTTTAAATGAACTCATATATTACATAGAACCTTCACATTCCTCCAAAAAACTTGTAAAAATACATAAATTATAAAAATTATATATAATTGTGACGAACTATTTACGAACTATTTTTCTGCATCATTTATTTATATTTTATTAAAAAAAATTTTTAGTACAAATTCTTCATATGCAGATTTTTCGAAAAAATTACAAATAATTTATCGAAAGCTATATATATTTCAAACGAACTATTTTCGAACTATTTTTCTGCATCATTCGTTTTATATTTTATTGAAAAAAATTTTTAGTACAAAATCTTTCTATGCAATTTTTTTGAAAAAAATACAAATAATTCATTCAATTTTATATATATTTAAAACGAACTATTTCCGAACTATTTTTCTATGTTATTAATTCATTCAAATAACATATAACTAGTTTCAATCAAAATGTGATATAGTCAGCGCCACCTCTTGCACTATATATAAACAGTCTCAACACACGTGCAGTTGAAATGTCATTTGTGTTTACAGTGCAAAGAATTGTGTTCGTTTGTATAGTGTGATGAAATTCGGCGGTGAATGATTTAACGGTATCGTAAATTATGAGAAGAATCTTCTGGGCGGGATTTTTGAAATACCACACAGGCCAAACCGTGGTTGAGATGTCAAATCACAAATGTCATTAGTTGTCCCTATCGAAATCTGCTGTCAAGCGAAGTATATATTGGTTATTGTATTACATTTCGTACGGGATTTATTTATTATATAAATATAAAAAAAACAATGTGAAATGTGAATAAAAAAGATAAAAAATTAATGTCGTGACGAATTATGTGAAAAAATAAATATTATATTTCAATTACTCAGCGGAAAGTATGCTTGAATACGCCTATACCGCTGCACAGCGGTACCAATATATACAAACACATAAAGGTCGACCCGCTTTAAAAAACATTTCTATTTTTTACACCTAACGATGGCTGATTATTTTTGTTTTTATTTTATTAATAAAACTAAATTAAAATTAAAAAATGTAAGTTTTTTACGAATGCGATTGCGTGGTTTTATTGTTCTGCTCAAGTGTAGTTTTGTTAATAGGGATTGATATGGATTGATAAGTTTCTCGCGTGGTCCACCTGTCAAATCGCTGTCGTCGACTTGTTCGACGGATTTGTACTGGGTGTGAAATACCATCACTCTAAATTTAGAAAGAAAAAGAGTTGTTTTTACATATTTACCGATTTTTGTTCATAAATACTCTTTCAATACTTTGTATTCTCTTTTCAGTATTTTTTCTATTTGTTCAGTAATTTATTTATTTATTTATTCACCGTCTGATCACAGACTGATTTTATCACAATCATTTACAATATCATTTGCAATGAAACACTACCCGATCGAATACCAGCCGCCAGTCTTTTCGACTTCGGAGCAGCAGATATCGACTGTGTCCATATATATTCATAACACAATTTTTCTTAGTCTATTTCACCGAATATTAAATAACAAATTGTCCAATTTAACAATACTAATTCTAAAAATGCTTCGCGATGCTGATTCCAAAAATGTTTCTCTTATTAAATTAAAATTTCTACACGCCACGTTAAATGGTTGACTATGTGCATATTCAGCTGTAAACGTTCTTACTCTAATAAATTCTGTATTTCTCAAATTTCTTTGGTTTACGTTATATTGTTGTCTTGTGTATACAATCTTATCTCTAAGCGAACGCGACACTATTTTACCTAATAAGAGATCATAAATTAAAAATATAGAGGCATTTATACGCCGTCTCCAAAGCGGTTGAATACTTAAAACATCACATCTAAACTGATACGGTGGCAATACAAAATTCTCATCTCTTTGGTAAACAAATCTTAACGACCATATCACAAATTTTTTCTGAATTGACTCTATTCTATCGGAGTGTATACGGTGGTATGGTTGCCATACTATACTCGCGTACTCTAACTTTGATCTGACTAGCGCAAAATACAACATTTTAGCCGATTCAATCGTGAACTTATTCTTTAATGTGCGTTTTATGAATCCCATTGTCCCAAGTGCACTGGCTGTGATCGCATCGATGTGATTGACGAACGTTAGTCTTGTGTCGAAAATAACGCCGAGATCCCTGTGTAAATTTATTCGTTCAAACGTGTGTTGGCCGTTGTTGATCGTATAAACGTAGTCGATTGCGTTTCCACCTTTTGAATACGTCATTACGAAGCATTTCCTCAGATTCAGATATAGGCTGTTTTCAGTGCACCAGTTGCTCAGCTGATCAATGGCATTTTGGAAAGTAATGACATCAATAGGCGATTGGACCATTGTGATCAATTTAAGATCATCTGCGAAAAGTAAGACAAGTGCATTTGTTACGGTTTCGACAATGTCATTAATAAAAATAATAAAAAGACACGGCCCCAAGATACTTCCCGCAGGTACTCCTGATGACACAGTGAAAGTTTTTGACTTTCTTTCCCCGATTCCAACAAATTGTGTTCGTGCTGTCAAGTATCCATGGAACCATTTGACAAGTTGTCGGCCGAATCCAAAGTTCACCAACTTCTGCAATAATTTCCTGTGGTTTACACGATCGAAGGCCTTCTCAAAATCTGTGTACAGCACTTCCGTTTGACATTTTTTGACCATTGAGTCCATCGTGAAATTTACCATTTGGAGTAAATTTGTTGAGGTTGATCGATTTTTCACGAATCCATGTTGATTGTGACTGATTTTCGCATTAACAAATGTTTCGATCTTGCCATATACAACAATTTCGAACAATTTGGCTATTGTTGGTATTATCACGATCGGCCGATAATTCGATGCACTGCTTTTCTTTCCAGACTTGAATATTGGAACAATTCTGGAATTTTTCAATGCTGCCGGAACACATCCTTGATGCAACGACTTACGAAATAGCATTGTTAACGGCTTTGACAAAGAATGCGCGCAATTTTTCAGTAGTTTTGGTGAAATACCATCTGGGCCAGCTCCTTTGTTTACATTGATCGTTTGTAGTGCTTTCATCACGTCTACTTCATTGATGTCAATGTCAAACGAGATGTCACCGCATTCACTCAGCAATTGATCCAAGTCGATATTGTCGCTCTGTGTATACTGATTTTCGAAAAAATCAGCAAATAATTCCGCTTTCGATACGTCTGTGCTCGCAATCTCATTGTTGTATTCAACAAAAGGCGGAATGTCACTTCTCTTTCTTCTGTCGTTTACAAATCGCCAAAAATGTTTTGGATTTGCTCTGATTTGCAATTGAATGCGGCTGATGTACGACTTGAACAACTGGCCTTGTAACTGCAAGAACGAATCTGTGATTGCGTTGTATTCGTCAAAGTTACCAGTTTCTCTTGCTTTTTTATACGCCTTTCTTCTGACATTTTTCATGTGTTTCAAGTGCTTTGTGTACCACGGTGGATCAGTACTCTTTTGAACGGTGATTTTTGGAACAAATGAGTCTATTGCCTCGTGTAGAACATTGCCAAATAATTGGAATGCATTCTCGAGGTCATCAATTCGATTTATCCCCAACAAAATGTCACTTGCAATGAAGAATGCATTCATCGCATCGAAATCCGCCGAATTGTATGCGTATATTTCCGATGATTGCGGTGCTGTGAGTTCGTTTTCATCAATTGTCACTTCGATTTCAATTGCTTTGTGCCAAATGTCGGATTTAACCAATGGTCTTGTTGATTCAATCAACGACATTTCGTAGAACTTGTTTGTGAATACAAGATCCAAAACATTCCCGGCTGGATTAACGATATTCGACAGTTGGTGGAAACCACAGTCATACATTGTGTCAAATACAGCAATACCACCTTCTGTCGACACATTTGTTGGCAAAAAATAATCACCATCATCGGCTTTGACCCACTTGACACCAGGCTGGTTAAAATCACCGCACACAATAACGATGTCATTTTCATTGTATGGGACCATTTTCACAATCTCAGCGAATTCCAAGAACTTTGCAGTTTTGTGTACCGACCGAATATACACTGCAAACACATAGACATTACACGAGTCGAACGAAATTTTTACACACACGTGCTCAAGGCCGCTGCGCTCTGATAGAATCAGCTTTTCACTGTTGAATTTGCATTCAACCGCGATCAGCACTCCTCCACCGTTGATTCTATCACTTGTGAGTTCCGTCCGATCGCCACGATAGACATTATAACGTTTTCCGAAATGCTCGATATCTGTAATGCTTTTTAATAACCACGTTTCGAAGAATGAAATTATATTAAATGGACACGATTTTGTTGCTAATCGAATCTCATCGACTTTGTCCCGAATGGAATGTGTATTCTGTATGTACACATTCAGTTTTGTGTGCTTCGAGACTATTTTTGGGGAGTTTTGTGTTTGTTTTCGATGCGGTGTCAAAGTTTGTTCGGATTTTCTTACAGTGGTGTTCTTTTTGTTATGTTCGATGATGTGGCATGTTTGTTCGACGCTTCGGTGACTTTGCTCGGTGGTGATACGGTTGAATCCATCAAATCTGGTGTCGGTGATTTGCGGATGTTTTTCGAGTTCAATGCCGGGAAAAAATCACCTAATGTTTTGTTCTGAAGGAACTCACGGACAAGAACATCTTCTTCCCACACTTCCGGATTGATCAAAATGTCAAAATCGCCTTCATTCAATTCGATTTTGAACGAAACAAACTTCAATGTGGTGACATCTTTGTCTTTTTTGACGAGTTTGTGCACCCTAAATCTCGAAATTTCTTTCACCAATG